CCCCCCCCCCCCCCCCCCCCCCACGGGATTTACATTGATAGGTGCATTATACTTTGTGTTTAATTGCGACGACTGAGCCAACAAGTGATCTTGACAGGTCAGTGAAACACATGTAATACCCTTTCAAAGTAACTTTAACTTCAAAGTAACCCTTTAACTTTAACTTCAACTTCAAGTAACTTTAACTCCAAAGTAACCCTTCAAAGCTGCTAAACATGTTTCATAGAGCACTGCGATGTTTATTTCGCGCGTGCTGAAGAATACTGATCATGATATATCACGTACGCAGTGATGATAATATATAGATTTAGCCAGGGCTAAAAGCGAAGCTCTCGATAATATTGAAAGTTTGTTCAAGCAAAGTATAAAATCGTGTAATGCTTAGCGGCGAAGGCAACGCCGGAGAACGGTGAAAAACAACAATAGGTCTAATTAGCAGATTAGCAAAAAAGGCAAATTTGCACGTGCAGCACACTTTTTTTGTACATTTCTTTGCCGTTGTTTTGCACGACCACGACGTGAAAGTTCCAGAAACTTCTTAGTTACACGCTTTTTAAAGGAAACGTCGTACGTTTTCTCCTTCCAGGTTTTTTCACTGCCGCTAATTTTCACCTTGCATTGGTGGCCGCTAGCATTTCTCATTTTGTCACCGGCGCTACAAAATTTTCATGTTATTGTTCCAACAAAAAATGTCTCCTTTGTTTTTTTTTTCTCGTTGAGCTTCGCTGGCCTGCCGCCTACTTTCTCTTTTTCTCGGTCTTTCTCTTGCTCTATATTCCAAATCTGTGGACACGACAATTAATCTAAGCTTAATACTTTGGACACCACGGATAAAGAAACAATTTCCGCTTTCTGTTTTCGTCCTTATTGACTCTTTAGTTGTCTCTCCTTTACAAGACGTGGGTGGCTATGTGATTTCCCGCCAAAATAACCTGGAGTTGCATTTGGGTTGCCATACCAGTTGATTGAGTTATTTTACATTGGTATGCCCGTGGTGCGGACGGACGGTCGTTCGGTCGCTCGGGCGGTGTACTGTCACGTGATTACCAAATTTTCTAGGATGATGGGGCTATGGACGCGCGCGTAAAGCGCGCGCGTGGAGCTCCCCTATAACATGAAACGAAGTGCATCATGCATGATCATGGGATACCATTCGATCGTCGTCTGGGTAGAGTCAAAGGTAGAAGGTCTCAACAGGGGCTCAGACAGTGGACTGTTGACGGTTAAAACTGACTGAAATGGAGGTTTAAAGGAAAATTTGTACCCATTAACTGCCGTCTCTGGTAATTTGACCGTTTAAATTTCTTTCTATCTTTTTTTTTGGTGATTATTGAGTACCTGATGTCTGGTCATGCATACATTCCTTTCTGATTGGCCAAAAGCGAATCATGTCATGGACACTTAGATAGGGCACTGGTAGGACACTGGTAATCATGCCATCATGGCAAGGTGGTGGTGGGGGTTAAGACAAAAATTATTCCTTATTTTAGACTGTATTTTATTACTCTTTCTCGTTTCGTTGGGCATACAGAATTAAGTAAGTTTTCAAACTAACAGAATGGAAATTAAATTTCTAGTGACTGTTTGCACCACACAAATAGACCGCTTATCGCCAACCTTGAAACTATTTTAAAGCATTCCACCCCCAAAAGACTAAATAGTGAAATTGTACACCCTGTTTAGGTCTGTTTAAGACTCAAGTTCCTGAAAACCATACCCGCTCGAAAGCCCGACCCTACCAAAATTTATAAATTTGTCCAGGTTGGTGTGCGCAGTTGCCTAGTAACAAAGCGCAACAAATTAAACTCCAACTCTCGAACCCACTCCCACTCCGCAGAGTGCTCGATTTTAGCTGGGCATTTTTTTGCCAGATGGTGACCAGACAAAATAATAGAAATAGAAGAATAGAAATCAAAACCATAGATGATCCAGTTCGTAACAACTGTGTTTGCACTGCGCAGATTTCAGCAAGTTCTGGATAGATGTGTGCGTTATGTTACATGATCACACAACCATTTCAAGATGATTTCTTTTTTCTTTTGGGTTGCGGCGGGAGGTGGGGGAATATTTGAGGGCGGGGATAAGGTACTCGAGGGGGTACTAAAGGGAGCTGGGAAGCAAACGTGGACAATTAAAACTATAGAAGAGAGAGATAAACAAACAAACAAGCAAACAAAAACGGGGCGGTTGCGTTATATTGAAGACCATCGGAGGGTGGGACTGCATTCGGGTTTTATCAAAACGTTTTTACACTGTGGGAGGTGCTCATGAAGGTATGAGTATATGTTTGATGGAATGAAGTACTCTCCAAAAACTATTTGGTGACCCCTGCGACGGCTGGGAGACAGTTTAGTCCCTGATCGTCTGGGATTTGCCCAATAGATGAAAACAAGGCAATAGAAAACTACAAATTGGTCGGTTTTTGGATGGATTTCTAGTCTTTTAGTTCGGTTATGTCCAGTAGCGTACACAGGGATGTAAACCATCCTCCCTCAAACGGCTGGGACTGGGACTCGCTCATGACAGATCACTAGCCTTTTCATTTGTTTATTTTTTTTTATCTCGGGGCGTTTATTTAAAACGTGGAGAAAATTATTCGAGTCACCGGGTTGATGTCGGTAGCAGCGGTTTGCCAATAGGACAATTGCACGATGACGATATTTGACTACAACTACCAGAATTCATTTCGTTGTTGCTTTGTTATTTAAATTTGTCAATCCCGCTGAGGATTAAAGAACAATAGCCTTAATTTGCACAAGAAAACAACAAACTCAAGGATTCTGGTAGTTGTAGTAAAATGACGTCATCGTGCAATTGTCCTATTACACGAGTGACGTTGAAGGCCTCTTTTCAGTTGAAAGAATTACAATGAATGTGAGTTACTCCTGAAAGTACATTAACTTCTAAATTTAGGACATGGCTTAACACTTTAATTCTTTAATATAACTTTTTTCTTTCATCATCAGCATGGGTCAGCTCTCTAACGTCTTCCGTTTTGTTCTTCTCTGCTCCTCTGAGCACGTCACTAAGCGAGCGATTTGGTTGCCGAGTTGTGACGATATCCGGGGGTTTGACGTGCATTCTTGCTATGGTCCTGTCCTCATTCTACACCAGTATCCTTCATCTTTATTTCACCCACGGAGTACTTTGGGGTGTTGGATTGTCCCTTGGTTACTTTCCTTCGTTTTTGATCGTCGTTCAGCACTTCAAGAATTCGAAGCGTTTGTCTTTAGCCACTGGCATTGTCACCTTCAGTGGTTCCCTCGGTACATTGACATTAAGCCCTGGATTACAGTGGATGTTCAACAGATTTGGACTTTCTACTTCGTTTCGCATTCTTGCAGCAGTTCAAGTGGTAATTATTGTCTGTGGAATGACTTTTTATCCTGTGAAAGACAACGAGGTACCCTCTCAAGAAACCAAGAAGGAGAAGTATTTTGATTGGTCCATTTGCAAGAATCGAGCACTCATCGTTTTCATCGTCGCATTAGGTTTCAACATGTTAGGCTACTTGGTCCCTTTTGTTCATCTGGTGAGCTTAATTCGTGGGCTTGAGCTGGATAAACTGCTATCTCTTTTATTTATTGTCGTTATTTTACTTAAAATCCATTTCTGATTGGCCCATATCCCCTTGCAATTCTTCATACCCCGCTAGTGTTGACCACATTAGGATGATTGATACCGATTTCAAAACGATTGACGCCAATTGTATAGATATTGACAGTAAAAGGGATGTAAAGATGTGAGGCAACTGGAAAGAAGCGACGCTGAGAAAATGGCGGGATATTTTGCAGTTTATGCGAAGATGACGTAGCCGGAGAACACAAGTTCCAGTACAATTAAACGATCAAATTCTGGCAAAAGCACTGCTGAGGTTTGTGGGAAAAAGACTGAACGCAGGGAAAGAAGAAAAAATGTAGAAATCCTCCTCTTTCTTGCTATGTTAAAATCCCCGCTCATGTCAGACGATTTTCGCGCAGGCATGTTTCGCTCATTGCAGTATATCTCTAAGCTGGCTATCTCCGAGTAAAATATCAGACTACTTGTAGTTTGCATTAGCATTCTTTGTAAGGTTCCAAACCTTATGAATGATTCGTACCCTAACGAAAGGGCTTTAGTTTAATCAGGTTAAGGTCACTTCATTGCAATTCATTTTAAGATGTTAGTGCTCAATTGAGTCTTTACAATGAAAGCTATCGCATTGCGTTTTTATCAGTTTTTATCAGATAAGTATCGCCTACTGTTTTGTCGAAGCGAGAATGTAGGTTTAATATCCCGTGCCCTTTCGTAACACATTAATGCCTTTTTTTTTTTGGAATAGGTGAGGATGGCTGAGGAACGTGGAGCCAGTCCAACAGAAGGCGCTTTGTTGATCAGCTACGCCGCAGCGGCATCTGGCGTCGGGCGTTTACTTTTTGGAAGAATGGCCGACAGCAAACGTCCCGGCAGGTTTTTCATTTGGCGAGCAGGTGTATTAGGAATGAGTGTGTCAACAACTTTGGTAATCTTGGCCAGTTCCTATGAATGGCTTGTAGTGTACGCATGCACATTCGGAATATTCGAAGGTTGTTACGTGACATTAACCCCCCTGCTGGTCAGGGACATCGTGGGCGTTAGAGGATTTCCTTATGGTCTTGGATTGGCTTATTTTTCGATGGCATTTACACGAAGTGCTGGTCCACCCATTGCTGGCTGGATTTACGACAGTTTTCACAGCTACAAAGTGGCGTTTCTGTACACCGGCTTCGTGATTTTCATGGGAAGTTTCATTTCCGTCGTAGTTCCCTTACTCCAGGAGAAGAAATTGCCAATTGAGTACCTCAGTTATAAAGACGAAGACACGTCGAATAATTTAAAATCCACCGGGGTCGACCGAGAAACTGAGGTTTAAACGCACGATGAAAGTAAAACTTTACGGCATATACGTAATTCAGGCGGTAATTTATAATATATTGCCGATATCTCAGAATTGTAGCAGTTTAGAAGGGCCTCTTTTTCTTCAAGGGTTAAGGCATTCTTTTTGCACGTTAAGGCTGTGTTCCGGATAGCTTTTGGGCCGACCCGAAATTTATACTGCGTAAGGCTTGAGAGGGGTTATTTCAGCGCGATTTCTATCAAGGTTGATTCCACTGACGCGTTTTTGGCTACGCACGTTAACGCGCGTAAATTTTTATCAGGTAGATAAATAGAGGCACGATAAAAAAGTGCTGAACTTAAACGAGAAATTGGTCGAGGTTCAACTTTTACGCTTACGAGCGACCTTTTATGCATTGCCTCTACTTTATTTGCGCACGTACGCACGTAAGAAATACGCGACACTGGAAATCAACTCTAACGGAGTAAATCTGCGCCCCGACTATCTCGATTCTATCTTTTACCATGGCATTTCTAAGAGAAAATCTTATTTGCCTATGCAACTGCATCCTATTGGCCTCCTAGGTGTGCTGTGGGGTGTCGGATTATGGGAGGTTGAATCAAAAGCTCAAGCACTACAAGGAGCCAATTAGAAAGGAAAATTGATTTACATTTGTTGCTTACAAAAGAACCACGTCTGTACTCACTTTGAAATATAGAATATGAGGTTTTGGTATTTGATACCGTCAGAAAAATCGAGGTACCAAAAAAATGAAGCTAGTTTAATTTTGACTTTTTGTGATTAAAAACTAACTAACTAAATAAATAATAATAATAAAATAAACTTCTCCAAAAAACTAACAAGTGACTTAGCATTAAACAGTGCTCTCCAGGTAGTTTCGGATTGTTTCCCACACTTGAACTGATCTGTACACGTTTCGTACACTTATTTAGCTTTCTGGTGGTTTGTTCGACCAATCCTTTTTTTTTTTAAAACCCCGTGACTCCTTTAAATTTGATTGAAAATTTTCTTTTCAAAGCTGGTCAGAAAAGGTCAACCAAATTTGGATCATAGTAGACTTTTAAGAAACCCAGAAGGAATACGTCAAACCAGGCGCCCGTTGTTCGGCACACGATACACTGGATAAGTCACTATCCAGTGGATTATACATTAAGTGTTAAGAAAACTAATTGCAACAGACTGGATAAAAATTTATCCAATAGATAGCGTTATCCACCCTTTGAACAACTGGGGCCAGTTGGCTATTTATAGGAGTGGCCAAGAGAAGGCGTTAAAACTCACATCAAGAACCAATCGACATAGACACCACACCACACAGAAGATTTTTGCCCACCTCGCTGACATTTATTGCTTCAAACCCCGCAAAACCACCTTTATAATTAGATTGACGGATTCCTCCGTTTCGTGTTGACTAGTACTCTCGTTAACATACAGTTTACCCCCCCCGCCCCTACCAAAAATGAAAACCTTATTTAGATTAACATGTAGTTTTGATTAATGGTTGTGATAGCTTAATAACATTCCTTTTAAGATCTTGGCTTGGAGGAGCATTAATAAACATCAATAGTTTCTGGAAGAAAAATATATACAACGTTTATTGAACAGTTGTATCCTTTACAATTTTTAACTTGAAAGGTTAGAAGCAGTTTCATCAATCAGCAAAATAAATTTTGATAAGAAAAAAGCAATACATAAAGTTTACATGAAAGTTTTTAACCCAGGAAGTTTTTGTTTTCAATGTTGTTTGCTTGCCTATCTAGGGTTGCGTTCGATTGGGAAATCCGGATTTAGATTTTGAAATCCAGATTTCGGATTTTGCTATCGAACGCGAAATCCGAAAACAGATTTTACCTCCGAGAAATCCGTCCTCAGGGTGGATTTCAATTAGGAAATCCAAATCAGGATTTCATGGTTTTCCTTTTTACCGTTCGATTGGGAAATCCGAAAAAGGATTTGCAAAACTGTTCTCGTGAACAGCGGCCTTCTTTTTGCTAATTATGCGTGCGCGTGCAAGACCGCTGTTCTTAAGGACAGTTTTTCAAATCCTTCAGCGGATTTCCCATTCTCGGGGGTAGAAGCGGGATCATTTGAATCTTGATATTCCTGATTCCTGCCGTTTTTGCCTCAATGATTCATGATTCCTACAAGAATTTTCTTCCAGATTCATTATTCATGAAGACTTTTGATCATCTATTGACTTAATGATTTTCTCAGTCGCAACTTATATTAGTCTCCTTTTGTATAGTTTCTTCGGCGTTCAAACTTCTACTTCATCTGGACTCGGTATCGTCGTTTGTTTGGTCTAGGTATAGAGTGTTTTTTTTGTAACTGAACATTAAGCACTAGGTTACTGGCGAAACAAGCGGACTATCAGCCCTGATTACACGAAGTATATAAGGGGGTCCGGGGGCATACTCCCCGGGAAAAATTTTGAAAAATTGGACTCTATGAAACAGCATGTCCTGCATTCCCTGGATCGAACGCAACTAATTTATAAGTGTACTTTGTTGAGCTTTTCTCAGAGTCTCGTTATTCATGATTCCCGAGCCGAAGTGCAAAGATTCATGATTCCCAAGTTTTTAAAACAAAGATTCATGATTCTTACATGTTTTGTAAGTATGACTCATGATTCATGATTCTGCTTCCATCCCCGACCCAATCGAACAGTAAAAACAGATATCTCAGCGTTGAAGTTCCTTTTCGGATTTCGCGTTCGATTGCAAATCCGAAATCCGGATTTTCAAATCTAAATCCAGATTTCCCAATCGAATGCACCCCAGAACTTTTTTATCCCCCGGCCCCGGTTGTTCAAAGAAGGGATAGTGCTATCCACCGGATAAATCTGCATCCAAATGGATAGTGTAATTAGTTTCTCCAATGATTATCCACTGGATGGTGGATTATCCGGTGGATTGCGCTATTTTTAATTTCTGAATGCCGGCTGTCTTCATTATTGCCGTTAAAATAGTGAACTACATGAAAGTCATACTGGGGTGTTTTGTTTAGTTTATGTTCGAGTTATTGATCATTCACTGGTACGTCCTAAAGTTACGGAATCCAAGGCATTCTTAATGGATTTCGGATTTTATGCACTGGACTGTGGATTCTTAGTCAGTGGAACTTGGATTCCATTTCCCTTGACCTGTACCATAAAAACCTGCGACTAAGAACCTGTTAGGCTAAAATTTGCCAATTAAGCCCCCTCTCAGATACAAGAACCTGTTTAGCCTAAAATTTGAAACAGGTTCTTATGTTCTGAAGTAGGAATCCAAACTTCTTGTGGTCATATGCTTCTTATTAATAATCAGTTTTTTTTTTCATAAGGTCAATTTTACATTATTTCTAATTTGGTACGAAAAAGAATATATGAGGAATAAGCTGAATATAACACTAAATACTCTTAGCTACTGACAATATATTTTTTCTTCAGATAATAAGAACCTATTTAAGAGCCTAAATAGCCTAAATTTGTGCTAATTACCATCTATTTAAGAACCTGTTTAGGCTAAATTGGGAAACTGTAGGTTCTTGCAACAGTAGTCGCGGGTTTTTACTGTACTCCGGACTTTAAAGCCCAGGATTCTAGATTTCTGAGAAAAAATCTCCTGGATTCCGGATTCCACAAGCAAAAATTTTCTAGATTTCGGAATCGAGATTCCATTACATGGGGCGAATTTGTGTTGCTTACGTGACCCACTTCTGCTCTAAAAAACAAAAATTTCTAAATGATTTTACCAGCTTATGGATTTTTAAACATTACGTCTTTACACCGATTTTAATCCCACCCCGGTGTAGCCCCACCCGTATTTCCAGCCCACTTAAAAATTCCTTGTGAAGTCGTATAAGCCCAGGGCTAACGTCTTGCTCTCGTTTTAAAAACGTTTGCTTAAAATTAGGTTGGGCGATTGTTAAACATCAAATTTAGTTTTCCGCCAAAATACCCCTAACTTGCTCTGTTTCTTAGAGGGTTGTCCAACACTCCTACATTTTTCAAGTTGTGAAAGTCGAAATTTGTGTGCTTCAACTCGTACGAGTGGTTAAGTCGTGAGATAAGCCTTTGAATACGAGCGACTCGTACTAGTGGCTTCCGTGCACTATTCAGAAGCAGACAACTCTGCTCTCAAGTTCCAATTGTCGTTAATGAGATGCCATTTCACCAGTTGCACGAGTCGTATCACTTGAGAAGGTCTCCCTCTCTACATGAGATGCAACCAAGTAATGTACTTTGCTTTAGTTCACTCAAACGTATCACATTCACCACTTGAACCACTCGCACAACTTGACTACTCGAACCACTCGTACCCGCTGAATCTTTAATTTTACGACTTAAACAAGTGGTCAGTATTGCTGCTCATCTTCGATGTGCAGTCGATCCCAAGATTTAAAGATATGTAGTGTAAATCGAATAATTTGATATTCAAAGACATTTTTAGTTAACTTACGTTCACAGTTTTGACCATCAAATCCATCGTCACAGTAGCATTTATACCAAGATGGATCTTTGTCTGGGCGACTGACGCATAATCCGCCGTTTTGGCATGGCTGCTCATCACACTTTGTCATTTCAACTATCAAATAAAAAGTCCAAAATCTAGGATTAAAGTTTTATTAAGGATACTCTCGTGCCCAAAATGTTTCCAGGTATACAACTTGTTGCTTCACGTTGGCTCTATACTTACTTAGCGCCTCACGTCGCAAGACGTTCACTTTAGCAATCTTTGACGTTGAGGACTGCGTTAAAACGCAAACAGCATTAATATCTGTTTAAACTTATATTTCGGAAATAGTAGGATAGTTTCTTTGGATACACTTACTTTCACAGTACTTCCCTGTCAGCCATTGTCCACACTGGCAGATGAAATCGTTCGTGTCAGCAGGATTGGTGACACACGTGCCTTGGTTATGACATGGGCTACTTTCACATGGTTTCACCTTCTCTAAACAAAAATATTTGCTCGCAAACGGCACCATTAGGCATGTAACGATACTTTAATCAGGGTTAGGGTTGCCCTAAT